GGACGGGCGCCCTCGGCCGCCGCGCGGCGCTCGGCCGCGTTGCAGGGGGCCGGCGCCGCCTTCCCTCCCCAAACGCCTCGGCCCGTCCGCGCAACAGCGGGTTCCCCTTCGTGTCATCCCGCGAGCTGATCCCGACCCACGCCGAGGGGTTTTCCCCGCGTGTCACTTCCTTGCTGCGGTGCACACGCGAACTCGGCACCGCGCAGCCGGAGCGACCCGTGTGTGGAGCTGGTGCCGCCTGAGAGGGTGGCGGGGAGAAGGTGCAAGGGACTCCTTTGTACACGAGTAAATTCTGCCACAGCAGCGAGTAACCAACAAAGAAGAGTCAGAGAGAAAAACTCCCTGGCTCTCTTATCCTAGGCTGTGGCTTGCCCAAAGTGAAGTGAATTATGCTGGAAATCAGGAGAAGAAAAAGTGGCTCTTACAGTTCAACTACCCGAACTAAACACAGTTAAACTCACGTACCAGTATTAAGAGTTTACCACATACACTTTATCGGAGGTTGCTCTTCTGTTTCGAGGAGGGGGCAGTGCAAACCTGTCTACCTCTTCTCACACTCCTGTGGCAGCACCGTCTGGCAAGACCCACCTCGCTCTGCCCCCACCAAAACCTCAGGTGCTAAAATAATGCCATATTTTCAGATAATTCTCTCCTTATCTCCCAAATTTCATCCTCCTCCATTTCAGTCCCGTGCATCTTCTCACCTGCAAGGCCTTGACTTGCATTCGCTATTTTCATATTGAAATAGCTGAACTACAGGGTCCACCTCAACATACCCTCTAGTTATCTTTGCTGTGGCATTATTTCCAGTAGAATTTCCTTCCCTGAGCTTTCCACTGAAGGCTTTTCCCACATCTGCCCCACATCAACCCTTTTGCTCCAGTATTCTCAAGTATCTCTACCCTTCTCCCAGATCACTGGAGCTCTCCCTCTTCCAGGTCCCCCCTTCTCCTTTCGCAAAACCAGATCTTCCAAAATCCATCCCCTCCAGGCTTGTAACCCATGCTTTGCTTCTCTCCCCTATTTTAATTCCATACTCCTGCAGAAAGCTCTCTCTCCAACATCTGCCTCGTTCTCCCACAGGCCCACCTGTGCTCTGGCCCGACCTCTGCTTCGCTCTTTCTGCTCGGGTCCGCCATCCCCACCACCGCTTTGGGCACCACCAAGCCCTCCTCTGCAAGGGCCCATGTCCTTTGCACCCTTCTTTTTCTCCCTCTCAGCAGACAAGCAGAAATCAGGGCTAGTGCAAGAGGAGGGTGGGTGAAGCCACCTTACCTGACCAGTGCAAGAAAGAGGACAGGTTCCAGGTGGGGAAGCAACAGAGGAAGCTCTGGGAAGAGCTGCCTGCTGCCCAAGCGGAGGAAAGGGACAGACCCCAGTGGGGAGAGGCTGGACTACAACTTCCTCCTTCAGTCCTGAACATTCCTTGTACTTTAGCCAGGTAATAAATTAATTAGACTAACCTAATTGGGGAGAGCATATCAAGGCAATCAAATTACTTTTGCTTTACTATCTTAAAAAAATCTTAACCTTACAATAGCAATTCTATGTTTCGATATTTAAGATATCCCCTCAGCAGTCTTACATCACTTTTTATATTTTACGTATTTGCTAAGAAGCTTTTTTTATTAGTCATGAACTATTGTAGCTTTGGGATCCAAAACTTTGAAATTATGTTTTTTAAAAAATAAAATTATTCTAATCACATTATGCATCCCTATACAAAATTTCTAAGTCCAAGGAAATTTAATAATTAATTACATGGCAACTAGAGGGAGCCACGAGTTTCCTTTTTTAAAAAATATGTTGCTATTTTGACCACTGAAATTCTTTCTTTCGCATGTAAACATGCAAAATTAATCACCTTAGATTGTGCAGTACAAATGACAGACAGATGAACAGCAGCTAACCTGACATTTTCATGCTCCAGCTCCACCCCATTTGGCTTCACACACCAGAGGAAGCAAGGGGAATACAAAGGCTCTATTTAATTTTTTTTTTAAAAGGATTTTGTTGCAGGAAGTGACCAAAAAACTGGGTCAATTTTGCACTAGTATCAGGAAAATAAAAGGCACTTAAAGCAATCTTACCTTTTTGATAATATTTGCCATTGCAGAAAATACAGACTTTACGAATTCCCCAATCTCAAAATCATTCAAGCACAGAAGTATCTGATATATCCAACCGCCTTCTGTTTGTTCACAAGAAAAATAAAGGTTTTGCATTACACATAAAAGTTTCACACTATTTATATTTATATTACATAAGTATTGTATTAGTGTATAAGTTTTTTTAAGTATTATAGTATGTATTATATATGTGTGTCATTTATATAAGTATATTTATATTTAAATTATATATATATTTTGAGATTTCAAATTAAGAAACTTTACACTTACCATTACTTGGAAAGTAGTTCTGAATTTGTGAAGAGACATCTGAGAAAGGTTTTTTGACATCAACTGGCAAATCAACCACTGAACTGTAGATTTCTTCCTCAGTATTTACTGATGGAATCACTATTGCTTTGGAGTGTTTGTCAATGTTGTGTTCACTGTCTATATCTGTATTTATTTCATGTTCCTCCTTTGGTGTTTCTTCTAGTAGTTTTCTTCTACTGCCTATTCCTGCAAATAATTGTGAAGTGAAAACATGTTTATTTTCAGAGAATTCCATGTTTTCCCTTTTTTTTTTTTTTACGTGATAACCACCTCTGTTCACATTTTGATTTTTTTCCCCCCTCCATTCAAAGCCAAACACTGAAGTGATGCATTACAATACAAATGTGCTACAGATTTATGATTTAAGAAATGCCAAGTAGCCCTTCATACTTTCTCATATTTATTTTTCATGATTCTTATTTTTTTTTCTCATTTTGTTCATCTTCTGCAACTTTAGTAGTATTTTTTCTTGTTCAGTTTCTTTTCCTTTAACCTCATTTCTATGTATATGATTTAATTCTACCACATTTTCATATGTCCTACTTACTTGCCAGCCTACCTACTTTGCCAGCCTTACATTCATTTGAATCTTGGATAAAGTCTGTGTGTCCAGACTTTTTTTTTCTACATTCTTCATTACTTATTTTACTAAATACACTTCCAAAGGACTTCTGGTAAAAATACTACCTGCAGTCCTTTCTCTTAGATGATCACTTTTATCGTTTATATTTTTGGTCTTTGTTTCTGTTTGCTTTTCAGCATTTTTCTTGAATCTTTTCTCATTTTATCAGCAAGTTTTTGTTTGTTAGCTTTTTTTCAGTGTTATCCATGCTTTCATTTAGAACTGGATTTTCCTTTTCAACACTTTCTATCAGTCAGCTTTCTGTATGACACAGAATTACTGGAATTTAACTCATCAACTTTTCTGAAAACATTCTGGCTTTCCAGTTTTGTAGTCTTAGAAGAGACTAACTGTAATGCTGGTTGTTTTCTTTCAAAATTGCCTTCTCTTTCAGAGGACTTCTGGGGAAAAAAAAAAAGATCAAGTTTACTAAGAGTGTTAGGTGGCTGCTTCCGCTAAGTTTTCCATATAATTTTTTTTTGAATTCAGGTTCACCTGAGAACTTGTCTATTGACATAGCTCAATGCTTCTGAGCATCTTCTGATACTCAGATTCATTATCTGCATTTGTGTATCTTGTTGCACTATCATAAGAGCTTGACTTGATGGACACAGGTATGCCTCAATCTGATGCTACAGCATAATCTTTTCTTTTACTGTACTGCATATGATTTTTATATTTCCGAGATCTGAATTAAGACCATTTCTAGACCAGGTCTCTGAAACCAGGAGTGTATGTTGGGAACATGAATCTTTCAGTGTTCTTTCTGCTTCACCTTTATTACGGTGTTGCATATTCATGTATCAACAGTAGCATTGAGTGATATCTTAACTAATGTCTTAAACTAATCTTTCTGCCTTTTTTTCCCCACCCCTCCATTGTCCTGTTTGTTGCTTTTGCATTGCCAGCTGAAGTGCAGGTTTATTCTCTTTGGAGATATCCAACTTACCCTTTTAATTTTTATTATTTATTTTTTAATTCTGATGATAAACGTACAGAATCTTTGGAGACAAGGACATAAAAGTAACCTTTTATATTGAAATTTGGCAGACTTTCACTAGTCCTGGAAACATGACCTTCAGCACTAGAATAATTAAACATGTACTTACTATCTTTGAGATATTTCAGGCTTCCTAGCGTTTCAACACAAAATGTGTGAAGCATCATTATCTTTGATTAATTTGGTAATATGTGCTGCCTTTTTTATTACTGCATTCATTACTTGGCAGAGCTAGTGGGGAAAAGATTTCTGTCTTGGGCTGCATCCATCTCTCTTTTCTGGCAGCTCATCACTACCTTTCTAATTTGCTTGTCCTTTGATTGCTGTATTTTTATTTCCCTGTAATATGTCATCATCATTTTCCATCTGAGGGTTTTTCTTCACTAAAATACTCAGCACTTTCTGCTTTCATTGTTGAACTCTGAAAATTCATGATGCCTGCAAAATGACTCAGGGAGGAAATGCCTCTGTTCTGGTAAATCAGGCTTGCTTTTTGCATTTTTTGTGTCTGTGGGATCAAAGTTCTGAGATGGGATAGAAGAAGAAAAAAATCGATCCGATGCAATTGATTCATGTCCCTGTTGATTATCACTTGTGTTTGTACTAAAACTTAGAAAGCTATTATAGATGTTTTTATACCAACCTGATTGGTCATGTTTGCTTTCTAACTCCCAACTTCTCTCTTCAGCTTCTATGTTTTTCAAGAGAAAAGTCCCAGGTTGGCTTTCTGATACTGAGGCTTGTTCTGAGCTGCAAGGTTCAAGTAGCTTCTCGCTGTCACCTGTTGGGATGTTGGGAGGTGATTCTGTGGTATCTGAGGTGCTTGTGGTATCATTAAGAGTATGTAGACTCGCTGCTAGTGTCCAAGGATTTGACATGTTACTGTTTGAATCTGTTGCTTCTGGTGCAAAATTTTCTTTGTTGTCTTCATCTACCACCACTTCAACTGATCCCTGTGGTTCTTTGTCCATGTATGATTCTTCCTGTTTTAAAGTCCATATTTCTTCATTTTTATTTGCTTCATCCTCTATTTCTCTGTGTTGCTGGTCTTCCATAACTGCATCTTTCTCAGCTTGCCCAAAATTTAGAACATCACTTAAACCCAAATTAAACCAGTTTGATTTGGATTCATAGCTTTCACTCTTCTGCTCTTCTTCTGTCAGTGCTTTTGTAACTGCTGTTTCATGTTCATTATCAGAATGTCTGGCCCCATGAGAAACATCATGGATTTGTGGACTGTTTTTTTCTGATGCTGAACCAACATCCACATCCTCTTTACCAAAATAGAGGAAGTCTGTCAGTCCACCCTGAAACCAACCTGAAGCTGTAGGCTCTTGCTCCTCCTTATCACTTAGCTCTTCCATATCATTTTCAGCAGTTACTATTTTTCTGCCAATGTAAGCATTTTCTTCTAAAGATGCAGTAACAGCCTGTGTGGTCTCCTCATTTTTCTTACGTTGTGTGGTGAACCATCCTGCAATGCCAGAAACCATCCAACTAGATGGGGTCCGAATGGTCTTTAACGGGAGACTGGTTTGAGTTTGTGGCTGTTCAGCATCTTTTCCATTCTCATTTTTGCTGGGCAACTTTTTGCTTGCAGACTCTTCCTGACTGTGAGATTCCTTGGAATCATTTTCAGAAACTAATTCAACTCTTTCTTCCTCCTGCATGGAGTTTTTTGTATATTTTAGGAGTTCATTTTCTGCATCAGGTGATGAATATTCAGTTTCTTTGTCGTGATCATGTAACACACTGTCTTTGTTCTCAAAAATGTACTCGTCTCCATCAAGACAGAGGAAATCAGTTTCCTAAAGGAACAATATTAACTTTTTAAAAGTTTTATTTTGCAGTTTTATACAGCACTGTGTAATACAACATGTATGTCTTTATACTTTATTCTTCCTCTGTGTAGTTGTTTTCTGTATTTAACTTTATACAAAGGAATTTAGGTAGTTATGATATTCCTAAGGTTATATATGGTTTATTAGTTAAAAAATAGCTTAGGTCAACAGATTTTAAGAGAGGACAATAAACATAAAGAACAATAACAACAACAACAAAAGGAATATTTGAATTGTCTGGAATAAAAAATGCAGTGATTGTAGAATTTCTAACTGGATATTGGATTTTTAATCCATGTAAGAAAATCCAGTGATACTGGTTTACCTTAGTAGGCACTTCAACTTCCTCTGAAATAAAAACTTCCTCAACCTTCACAGCATCTTTTGGAAAATATCCAAAGTCCTTTCCTTTCTGCAAAAATATAAAAGGAATGAGAACATGTAAAATCTACTAATAAGTATATTAGGTGCTTGCATGCATCCTAGGAATACAGGAACAAACAAACAATATGTTTACACAACTGCCACAATCACTTTTTGTTGGGCCAAAGTGGTTTATTCTTCCTTCACAAGAGTGTCCTTTTTGTCACTTCAAAAAGCAATTAGAAGTATATTAATCCATGCTGCTATTTTCTCTACTATTTTTTTCAGAAAATTGTGTTTGTGCAGATGCAAACCAGTAGCCTTAATACTGCTTCAAGTGAAGACAGTGTTTTGTGCACAGGTGGTCTCACCAGCTCTTACTAAAGTCATCTACAGAGTTCCTACTGACTCAAGTGTGAGAAAAAATCTTCTTTAATAACAAAAGGATCCCAGTAAGCTGCAAGAAGAGTAGCATATGAAATCCAGGTATGAGGTTGGCAGCAACTGAAGAGGAAACAGCAATGGTGGCATTACAGAAAATAAATAAATGATAATGTCCAAAAGAATTATGCAAATACAAGAAAGGGTCAGTCTGACCTAGAAATGAGCAAATAGATTGAAATCAGAGCATTGCATATAGTCCTAACGAAGGAAAACACCATGGACAGCTAGGCAGGGTGAACTACCTGCTGAGATAGACTCAGATGGAGAAAAAAAAAAAAGTAAAACGAAAAAGTTAAAAGAGAAAGCATTTCACTGTTACACACCAAATGTGACAGAGAAGTTACCAAAAAAAAAAAAAAAAAAGTTAACCACTATGCACTGGTTTTGGAGCACTTAGACAGTTTTATCAGTATTTGGGTTTGGATCAAGGCACCTATTTCTTCCTAGTTGTAACTTAACTACATGAACAATCCAGTCACTTAGTAACTTAGTTACTCTAAACTAGATAGGATGTCAGACTAGACTGGACAGGATGTCAATTGTTACTCTAGACTAGATTGGATGTCAGTTGTTCCAGCTCACTAAATTTGCCTATTAAGTTTGTAGGAACTTCACTTGAGTCCTGAACTGTGACAGCAGGTCCCCAGTACTGAGCAATCTGGTTACGCAACTGCAACAGTTCTTACCTGCTGACACACAAGTAGATACCTGACCCAACAGACGTGAATTTAAGGGAATCGGACACAATCATATAGCAAAACAGTCACATTTGAAAATGACAAAGCCTGCTTTCTGATCTTGACTTTGTCTCTCCACTTTTGATCTTTGGCCATCTTTGATATTTTTCTTTCTATAAAAGATAGTCATAGAATCACAGAATCGTTAAGGTTGGAAGGGACCTCTAGAGATCATCTAGTCCAACCTCCCTGCACACGCAGGGTCACCTAGACGACATGGCACAGGACTGTGTCCAAGCAGCTTTTGAAGATCTCCAGAGAAGGAGACTCCACAACCTCTCTTGTTGTCATGATGCTGAGCCATGACTACTTAACGTTATAAAAGAGCTGGAAGATCCTTACAAGCAAGTAAACTACTACTAGCAGACTAATCTAAATTATGTATAGGGAAAGTCCTTCATATTAGAGTACTTACACTTCCTGTCCACAGGTTTTCACTTTTCCTTGAAAGTTTGGAGTATACAATTATCTCTTCCCCTTCTTTGAAGCTAAGATACCGGCAGTCAGGCCCTAAGTAGTCTGCAGTGGCTTGAACTCTGCTCATTGCCGCTAGAATAATACATAGAAAGAAACAAATAAGTATAGCAGCCAACTTAACCTTAATTCAGATAGGATATTGAAAAACTGATTATAAAACTACACTGAAATGTTTATTAATATATTGACATGTATTTAATTATGATCCCATCCATTTAACAGGCAAGTGGAAAAGCACTAAAAATACAGAATGCAGAGAAGAAATCTTGTCCTGCTTTCTACTCTGTTTACTACTGAGGAGAGTAGTAAATAATAAATAAAATTTACCACAAGGGGGAAAACTCCTATATGTGCACTGTTTTTCGGTTGTTCCTCAGGCAAACTTTCAATGCAGAAATTTCTATGAAGAATTAGCGAGTTCAACTATTAAAGGCAGATCTAAACATCTAACAAATATTTCCCAGGAATATTTATAATTTTATATTTTGTAAGTTAAATCTAGTAGTAATTTCAGGCATCTTGTCCTCTATTTTGAATACATCAGTATTATAAAGAAAATAAGTTTAAACACTTTTGCATTGTCAAAACAAAGTTTCCAATTCAATCTCAATGGCTTTCAATTCTCTTTCTCTACACTAAGGGAGTCTCTGACTCCCTTACAAAAAAAAAAAAAAAAAAAAAAAAAACCACCCATGTGCCACAGTTGGGGCCTATTCCACCAGCTTGCTGAAAGACACATCTCTGAGCACCCAGAACCTAGTGAGGTCAATCCTCCTCCACAGAAAAGTAAAGATCCATTAGTAGAGAAAGTCTAAGGTTTCTTTTGGAAGCAACTTCCTTCTGCAAAGAGAACAAGCTGTCCTCTTTGAAAGTGTAACAGTTTGAGTGTAAACCTAAAGGAGACAATTTTAAAAAATGCTCAAGCTATGTATGATTATGGCAAGGCTCACAACAGGAATCAAAAGGATAAATTACTATTTATCCCTGGCCGTTTGTGATTCAGGGGCCTGGCTGCCTCCTACAGAGCTGTTTACTTCCCGGGAACTCCATAACTAGTTACTGCTCTTACCTCATACTATGGCAGAAAAATAAGCAAAGAGGATATATCAACAGTGCCTTTACTAAGAAAGTTTAAAGAAAACCAAAATAGGTCATTTTCTTACCGTAGAAAAAATACTATGAACGTTATCTAAACACAAGATATATGCCTTCTTTCTCGGTTGACAGGCTTTCATTTTTCTTTCTAGAGGATTTTCATATCTGTAACAAATGAGCTAAAAATATCTTAAAGCTGCTTTATGCCATCCATTTTGAGGAAACCCTAGGAAAACTATTTATTCAAAAATATTTTTTACTGAACTTTGATCTGTTATATACTTATCCAACACAATCTGGCAAACAAGATCTTCTTTTTTTATTAGAAAAATTTAAGTCTATCATTCAGAAACTTAGCATATTGACAACAAAATATATTTTCTATGAATACTTACTGTCTTTCAATGTTTCATCACTAATTTCAACATCACTGTTTGTAACAGCTATATGTATACTGTAATCTCTTTTAGAAAAAGAAAAAAACAAAAAACATGTTTTTTACTTACTCTCACATTCCCGATCACCGCACCTCTTCCATTCTGAAAGTACCTTTGTACTCTTTGTACTCTGCAGATTTGTCAAAAATGAAATTACTAACAGCAGACTTCTCTGATCCAAGATCCTTGACATTTTAGAATAAAACTACAATCTACTGAAAGTGCAAAAGTTCAGTCAACAAGAACATTCTACATTATTTTCTTAGTTTAACAAACTATTGCATGTAAATTTATAACCCCATTGTGCTTCTCTCATCTGCTTAAACACAAGCTCACTATGCCAGCTCTGCTAACGATCTGCAAAGTCAGGTGTCCTGATTATACACATACGTTTAAAAATTAACCGAGTACTGAAAGCTAGACTAGTGTTTTGAATACAAAGACACCAGTTCTTGTTGCATCAAAAGTTAGGCTCCATCATTTTTTTTGCACACAGCTTGTGAAAAACTTTGTTGGGAGAAATTCAACATGTCAGGTGTTTTATTTGTTTCTTTTTTTTCTGGATTATTAATGATTTTAACCTGATTTTTATTGTTTTTTAAAATGAACATGCATATGTTGATTTGCGTGATTCCTAATACAACTACTGACATTTTTTCTAGCTTTTTTTTTCCTTAATAGGCTATATTTTGTGTATACTGATATGTTTTAGAGTGAGGGTGATCACTGGGATCTCAAAACAGAAATGCCTCCACATAGTTCTTGTGGAGTTCTCTCACCCTCGAGGTTGTAACAGCCACCCTTCCCACCTTTTCCAGAGCGAGAGTTCCCACTCCGTTCTGCTTCACATCACTGTCCTCTACTTCTTGAACACCTGAATACATCTGCTCAGCTACCAAAGGGGCTTCATCTTCCCTTTTAAGCTCTCCCACACGAATATTCCTCCACAGGAATAACCTCTGCTCTCCTTCCCTGATAGTGTCCCAGGAAAGCGCATTGCGTCCCAGGTGGGCGGCACCACAGTCACAGCCTCCTCGTGGTCCTGCCCTTCCCGCAGGCCTCAGCCTGAGTCACATGTAATTGCTCTGACCTCCCCTTCCCATGGCTTAGGCGTCTCCTACTCCAAACCCAGCAAGCCACACACCGCTGTTCAGCCTTAGAGAGTCGCAGTAGGTGAGGTGCCCTCCTGCCAATGCTTTGGCTCCCGCCTTTGCCACATGACCCCATAGCCAGACTGGCCTCTCCTGTGACCCAATTTAGCAATTGCCTCTCCTCTCAGGTAATCAGACCCGAAGCTGTCATCCACACACACAGAAAACACAGCAGAGATCTGCTCTTCCCCTTGCTCTCCTTCCTCGCTTGATTTGCCCCCTCCACAGCAAACATTTTCCTCAGATCTTCTGCTGCTTCTGAGTGTCAGTGTCTGCGTCTCTTTCCTGGGTCCTTTAGACTTATCTGTAGGAAGTGAGACAGGAGAAGGGGAATGACAGGCAGCTAAAATGTGGCAAATTAAGGAAACCTGATGAGAAGAAAACTCAAACAGGCATTTTTTTCTTCTTTTTCATGAGTCTCTGCAGATTAGAAAAAAAGAAAAAACTGTTAAGATTAAATATATAAAGAATTTATACTGAGGGGACTCTATATATGTTAGGCAGAAAAAAAATCCTGCCAAGATTAAAATCTGGTCAGAGCATTTCATAATGTCACACAGCAACCATGGGACAGAAACCAATCATTAGTGTGGAAAAACTAATGTCGATTTTTGACCTTGGTAACATGGAAATGATTCACCTAAAAATGGGAAAAGACAGGTATTTGACACCTAAAATTCAGCAGTTCAGCAAGTTTACACAGGGGGACAAACTAGGAAATACCTTAATATCTGCATCGTATATTAACAAAAATATTTGTCAAATTATCTCTAAGAGTGGTTCTGACTTTCATTTCATACAGAGGTGCCTTTGTATTCAAATGCAAACCAATTCCAGTGTTTTTATGAAGATACTAAGAATGCTGCAACTCATCCTAACAACTCCACTTATGCCTGCAATTTGCAAGTTATTCTGGGCACTGTTCATTGCGTAGCTTACAGTCTCAGGAGTGATTTGTCTGACTGAACAGAGATCAGAACACTGTCAGTGTTATTTGTTCCTCTGGTACAACTTCAACAATAGATCACATTCAGATCAAATATTCTTTTCTTCTGCAAGTCCCACGCTTGCAGGCATTATCAAACACAACTTCCAATCACCTTTGAACTGAAGTCAAAGATAAAGATTAATGGAGTTTATCATAGCTGGCTTTCAAAGGACAAAGTTGAAAACTTTATAGCAGACAGAGACTTTGCTTTATTTCTATTTGGCAGGTAAAATTAGACATACTTCTGCAGAACTTAATTAACTGCAGAACTTAATTAACAAATGTGAACACTATTGTACATGCAAAGACAGACAATACTAATGAAAAAGCAAGCTCTATTTCCAGCAGTTGTCATTAGGATGAAACTATTAACTTTTTATTGGGAATAAAATTTTAGTAGCTTTAACTACTGAGCTAGAAAGACAGAGAACACATGACATATTAAAATTCAAAGTAAAGGGAATGGTATGATTTAACCTTTTAAGAAATGGTCCTGATTCCACACAGGACATGACATTTCCTAGAATATTCAGCATCTACATTAACAATAAGGACCCCGAAGCAACTCAACTTTGTACAAACTTTTCTAAGGAGATGAAAGTCAACACCTATTTTATATTAACAATGGTTACTGTGTAACTATCTAAAGTTTTGGTTATATTTTTATGAAAACACCAAAAGACTCCATTCAGAATCTAAGGTTAACTGTGCAGAATATTGCAGTAA